TCTGGGGTTCTGGCGGCTGCTCCCCAGCTCAGGGTCTGGCAGGGGAAAGAGAACAAGGTCCCTTCATCCACTTGGGTTTGGGATTGACTTTTGGCTTCTCCTCTTGCCCAGGATTCCCCCAGTATCTTTTACTCACCTTCCAGGGACCCCTCATCTGCGTTTGTTCCCAGGGGATTATTTAAAGCCGAGAACAAAAGACTGTTGGGGCTATCAGCAGCATCCTCGGAGCCTATGGGAGCCACCCTGGACTTTGCTCCGGCAGGCCCGCTAGCGTGGGATGAGGGGCAGCCGGAGCCGGGGAGAGCAGGGGGAAGGTGGCAGGCAGGGGGCTGGGGCAGGCAGAGCGGGGAGCAGATGGGCAGGGGTCCCTGCGAGGGGGCTGTGGGCTCTGTGCAGCTTGGATTCCCTTTGCAGGCAGGAGGAGAGGGGCACGGTGGGAAGCAGGAGTGTTTGCAGCCCCTCGGTACACCGTGCTGCATCCCTGCAACCCCCAGTCCTTAGGGGCTCCCACCCAGCGCCCATGGCCAACACCACCATGCCGTGGGCACCCCAAAAGGAGGGCACCACACCAGGGTGGGACCCCCAGTAACCAGAGCCAGTGGCATCTCCTGGAGGAGGATGCATTCAACCCTGAAGTGGGATTTTGGGATTCTCATCTGCCACCATGGAGCAACGGAGGAAGCCTCTGGCCGTCTCTCTGAGCATCAGGCTGGTGGCCGTGGCTCTTTGGCATGGGAAGACCCACTTGGCCATGGCTGCAAAGGCAGAGCTGTGCAAGGCAGCGTTCAATAAGATTTGGGGTTCGCACCGGGAGCGGGGTGTCCCCTCCAATCTGTGAACGCTCCTTGCTCCTTCACCCTGATAACAACCGGTGGTCTCGGAGGGAACCCTGTGCCTGGGGACCGGGGGGGACAGGGCACAGGGTTCCCTCCGAGGCCACCGGCTTTTGCTTTTCCTCTTGTTGCCCTCATTTTTGTAGATCATTTTTCCTGCAGACATTCCTTATGGGATCTCAGGGAAGATCGCTGCACTCAGCAGGACAAACCCTCCCCCTCCTGCTTCCCAGGTGTAATTTTGGGACCTGTCTGGCCAGAAAAATCTGGTTTTTTTTCCCCCACGGGGCAAGCGTGGGGAGGAGCTGGGATGAGACAGGAGAAGCACCTGAGCCAGTTCTCACCAGCGGTGGGTAAAAGGCTCGTGTTTCCCTGGAGCAGCTCTCTCCTAATCCCTGTTTTCAGCCAGTTTTCACTGAGCTGCTTCACCTTTGCCCTTGCAGCAAGACTCTGCTGTCCAGCCTCCCCCCCAACTACTTCTGCCCCCGTTCCTCTCCACGTGTCCCTCCAAGCCCGGTGGGATGGAGGTTGCTCACCCAGTCAGATGATCGATGCCTCTCCACGCCGGTGGGGATGGGGTTTGTGGTTACGTTGCTACAGCTGATGCCCACAGCCACTTCTGCTTTCAGGCAGGAGGGGTTGAACCCATCAGGACGCGTAGCCCGGGCTCAGCACCGGCTCCAGCTTTTGTTTGATTTCACAAGAAAAGGGATTTTGCCAAAGCTCCTGCTCTCCGTACTGCTCCTGGTGTGAGCTTTGCCCCAGATGAAGACGGTGGGAGCGTGGTGTAGAGGAGGTGATGGCCAACGCGTTGCTCAGCAACTCCTGCAACCACAGCTACAATCCTGTCCCGATTGCTTCACCAAGTCAGCAATTCTGAGGAAAAAAGCGTGTTTTATGTACCCTGTGACTATGAGGAAGATGTCGCAGCTAGCGGATGACGAAACACGGGCTGGGGACTGCCACGTCCAGAGGAAAGGCTCATGTGGACGAGGAGAGGACGGACCATTCCTGGTGGCAAGGCTTGCAGGACAGTGAGAGTTAGGGAAGGGGAAGAGAGAAAATGGAATCCAAGTGACTGAACAGTTCCCTGTGGCTGTTTGGCCACCTCTGCTCCCCGGGGGACAGCAGGAGCCCCGTTGGTCCCGATTCAGAAGCTCAGCGTTTGCTGGAGCAACGTCCCCTGAGCATCCCCCGTGTGTGGGGAGGAGGGCTGGAGAGGACCCCCCAAAACCTGCCAAGGAGACGCGGGGTGCTCTGAGATCCCAAGAGCACTTGGCATTGGAGCAATCCTGGCCGAGTCCAGGCCTGGCCACGTCTCGCTGTCGGCCAGTGTTTGGGGACACTGGGCGGTCCCTCGTCGTGCTGGGCAGCTGGACGCTCCCCCAGTGCCCACGGCCGCAGTGATGGACTGGTGCCCAGAAGAACCTTGGTGTGCTAAGAGTTAAGCTGGAAGAGGGAGAGGAGACCTTTGTCCAGCTGCCTGCACCTTATCTTCGCAGCGCCGGGGGAAAGCGCAGCTGAGGTGAAGTCAACACAGGAACCGGTTACAGAAACCATATGTTGGTCAGTGGCACAATCAATGCTTCTGAGTAAGGCAGACATTTCCTTTTATTGCAAATGACAAAGTTCAGCCACAAAGTTTACCACCAGATCTGAATTTTCCAGGGCTCTCAGACTCAACCCTGGGCTCTGCTCTGGGAAAGACGGAGCAGCTGTGAAGTCTGGCCCTGGCCACGGAGACCCCGGTACCTCAGCCTCGACGCCAGCCCGCTGCAGGGCCCTGCAAGCTGAGCGAAGGCACGGATAAAAATAACCCTTCTCTGCGCTTCCCTTTCTCGCTGCCTTCCATGCGTGCCTCGGGATGCATCATGCGTGAGCCACGATTGCTCATGCTTTCTCCCGCATCCCTTGCACCGTCAGCGAGTCGCATGCGCCGCGGTGACTCACGGGGAGCCCTGCAGAGACTCACGGGGAGCCCCGCAGCCCCCTGCAGCCCCCCAGACCCCCACCCACTGAACTAGCCCAGCCCGCGGCCGCTGGGTGGCGAGGATTGCAGCGT